ACGTCATATTTTTGATCGTCTTGCTAAAATTACCGAGGAAAATTAATTTCCAGTTCTCGTTGGTTTGAAGAAAAATTAAGGAAAAATAAATTTAATTTAAATCGATGAATCAGTAAAATCTATAAAATCAATAAATCGATAAAATCGGTAAATCGATAGAATTAATAAATCGATAAATCAATGGAAATCGTTGAATCGTTAAATCGATTAAAATCAATGAAATCGTTAAGTCAATGGAAATCGATAAGTCCAATAAAATCGATTAATCGATTTAATCAGTAAATCGATAAATCAGTAAAATCGATAAATCAATAAAATCAGTAAAATCAATGGAAATCAATAAAATCAATAAATCGATAAACCAATAAAATCCTATAAATCAATAATTCGATAAATCAATAAATCGATAAATTAATAAATAAATGTATTTCGTTCCTTGAATACATCCATCCAAAACTAGGAGAGATAACTAGGTTAAAGTTAATGACACGAACAGTAACTTAAAACTGTCAAGAGCTTCTTTGAGAACAGAGAACAGCCCTTTCATTTGCTTTTTAGTAGAGAGGGTGCTTAAAGGCGCTTAAATTATAATTTGAAAACTCACCTAGGGACGTCATATTTTCATCGTCTTGATAAAATTACCGAGAAGAATTACTTTCCAGTTCTTATTTTAGTTGGTTTGAAGAAAATTAAGGAAAAACAAATTTAAATTTAAATCCATAAATTGATAAAATCAATTGATCAATAAATAAATATATTTCGTTCATGAACTTACATCCATCCCAAAACTAGAAATATCTAAGTTAAAAGCTAATTGCGAACAGTTACATGGAAACTATCAAGGGCTTCTTTGGAAACAGAGAAAAGCCCTTCCATTATTTTAAATGAATATTCAGCCAAACGCTTAAATTATAGTTTCACCCTAGGAGACGTCATGGTACGATCGTCTTGCTAAAATTACCGAGAAGAAAATTAATTTCCGGCTCGTTGGTTTGAAGAAAATTAAGGGGAAAACAAATTTAATTTAAAATCGATGAATCACTAAATCTATAAATCAATAAATCGATAAATCGATAAATTAATAAATCGATAAATCAATAAATCGTTGAATCGTTAAATCGTTAAATCAATAAATCGTTAAATCAATAAATCGATAAATCGATTAATCAGTAAATCGATAAATCAATAAATCGATAAATCAATAAATCAATAAATCGATAAATCAATAAATCGATAAATCGATAAATCGATAAATCGATAAATCAATAAATCGATAAATCAATAAATCGATAAACCAATAAATCTATAAATCAATAATTCGATAAATCAATAAATCGATAAATTAATAAATAAATGTATTTCGTTCATGGGCTACATCATCCAAAACTGAGAGAGATAACTAAGTTAAAGAGTTAGCTAATACGAACCAGTAGCTTAAAACTGTCAGAGCTTCTTTGGAAACAGAGAACAGCCCTTTCATTGCTTTTTAATGAGGGAATTCAGCAAAGAGCGCTTAAGTATAATTTGAAAACTCACCTAGGGACGTCATATTTTTTCATCGTCTTGATAAAATTACCGAGAGAATTACTTTCAGTTCTTATTTTAGTTGGTTTGAGAAGAAAAATTAAGGAAAACAAATTTAATTTAAATCGATAAATTAATAAATCAGTAAATCAATAAATAAATATATTTCGTTCATAAGACTTACATCCATCCCAAAGGCGAAAATATCTAAGTTAAAGCTAATGATGCGAACAGTTTACTTAAAGCTATCAGGGCTTCTTTAGAAACGGAAAAGCCCTTCCATTGTTTTTTTTTAAATGAAATTCAGCCCGAGCGCTTAAATTATATAATAATTTCACCTAGGAGACGTCATGTTACACGATCGTCTTGCTACAAAATTACAAAGAGAAAATTAATTTCCAGTTCTCGTTGGTTTTGAAAGAAAAATTAAGGAAAAACAAATTTAATTTAAATCAGTAGATCCAGTAAATCTATAAAATCAATAAAATCGATAAATCCCGATAAATTAATAAAATCGATAAATCAATAAAATCGTTGAATCGTTAAATCGTTAAATCAATGAAATCGTTAAATCAATAAATCGATAGAATCAATAAATCGATTAATCGATTAATCAGTAAATCGATAAATCAATAGAATCAATAAATCATCAAATCGATAAATCAATAAATCGATAAAACCAATAAAATCGATAAATCAATAATTCGATAAATCGATAAATCGATAAATCGATAAATAAATAAAATAAAGTAATATTTCGTTCCATAGACTTACATCCATCCCAAGGCAGAGAGGAATAGCTAGAAGTTAAAAGAGTTAATGACACGAACAGTAACTTCAAAACTGTCAGAGCTTCTTTGAAACAAGAGAACAACCCTTTCATTGCTTTTAATGAGAAATTCAGCAGGTAGCTTAAATTATAATTTAGAAAACTCACCTAGAGACGTCATATTTTTCATCGTCTTGATAAAATTACCGAGAGAAGAGAGGAGTACTTTCAGTTCTTATTTTTAGTTGGTTTATGAAGAAAAGAATTAAGAGAAAAACAAATTTAATTTAAATCGATAAATTAATAAATCAGTAAATCAATAAATAAATATATTTTCGTTCCTTAGACTTACATCCATCCCAAAACTGAAAATATCTAAGTTAGTAATGAAATTGCGAACAGTTACTTAAAACTATCAGGGCTTCTTTTGAAACAGAGAGAAGAAACCCTTCCATTGTTTAAATGAAATTCAATGACGCTTAAAATTATAAAGAATTTCACCTAGGAGACGTCATATTTTGATCGTCTTGCTAAAATTACCGGAGAAAATTAATTTCCAGTTCTCGTTGGTTTGAGAAAGAAAAATTAAGGAAAAATAAATTTAATTTAGAAATCGATGAATCAGTAAATCTATAAATCAATGGAAATCGATAAATCGATAAATTAATGGAAATCGATAAATCAATAAATCGTTGAATCGTTAAAATCGTTAAAATCAATAAAATCGTTAAATCAATAAATCGATAAAATCAATAAATCGATTAATCGATTAATCAGTAAATCGATAAATCGATAAATCGATAAATCGATAAATCCAATAAATCAATAAATCGATAAAATCAATAAAATCGATAAACCAATAAACCAATAAATCCGATAAATCAATTCGATAAATCAATAAATCGATAAATTAATAAATAGAATTATTATTTCGTTCATAGACTTACATCCATCCCAAAGGCTGAGAGAGATAACTAGGTTAAAGTTAATGACACGAACAGTAACTAAAGAGCTGTCAAGGCTTCTACTTTGAAACAGAGAACAGCCCTTTCATTGCTTTTAATGAGAGAGAGAGAAATTCAGCAAAGAGCGCTTAAATTATAATTTGAAAACTCACCTAGGAGACGTCATATTTTCATCGTCTTGATAAAATTACCGAGAGAATTACTTTCCAGTTCTTATTTTAGTTGGTTTGAAAGAGAAAATTAAGGAAAACAAATTTAATTTAAAATCGATAGAATTAATAAATCAGTAAAATCAATAAAATAAATATATTTCGTTCATAGACTTACATCCATCCCAAAACTGAAGAAATATCTAGAAGTTAAAGTAATGATTGCGAACAGTTATGGAAACTATCGGAAGCTTCTTTGAAACGGAAAACCCTTCCATTTGATTTTTAAATAAGAAATTCAATGACGCAGAATTATAATTTCACCTAGGAGACGTCCTTCAGTACTGATCGTCTTGCTAAAAGAATTACCGAGGAGAAAATTAATTTCCAGTTCTCGTTGGTTTGAAGAAAAATTAAGGAAAAACAAAATTTAATTTTAAATCGGTAAGATCAGTAAAATCTATAAAATCAATAAATCGATAAATCGATAAATTAATAAATCGATAAATCAATAAATCGTTGAATCGTTGAATCGTTAAAGCGTTAAATCAATAAATCGTTAAATCAATAAATCGATAAGTCAATAAATCCGATAAAATCGATTAATCAGTAAATCGATTAATCGATTTAATCAGTAAATGGAAATAAAATCAATAAATCAATAAAATCGATAAATCGATAAATCAATAAATCGATAAAACCAATAAATCTATAAATCAATAATTCTGATAAAATCGTAAATCGATAAAATTAATAAATAAAAATGTATTATTTCGTTCATAGACTTACATCCATCCCAAAACTGAAGAGATAACTAAGTTAAAGTTAATGACACGAGACAGTAACTTAAAACTGTCAAGAGCTTCTTTGAAACAGAGAACAGCCCTTTCATTTGCTTTTTAATGAAGATTCGGCAAAAGGCGCTTAAATTATAATTTGAAAACTCACCTAGGAGACGTCATATTTTTCATCGTCTTGATAAAATTACCGAGAAGAGAATTACTTTCCAGTTCTTATTTTAGTTGGTTTGAAGAAAAATTAAGGAAAAACAAATTTAATTTAAATCCATAAATTGATAAATCGATAGATCGATAAATCTATAATTAAATAAATCAATAAATTGCCAGTTGAATAAAAAATACTTTTTAAGATTGGTAACCCTATAAAAAAAGTTCCCCCCCCCCCTTTTAAATTTCTCCGCTGCTGTAGGTATATCAAATTTAATAAAATCATTTAAATTTCTAAGCCAACTGTAGATATTATTTTCTTTGGATCACAAGCTGTGTAATTTTTTTATGAAAAAACATCAAAATCTATTAAAGTGGATTGTTGATTTCTAATTTTAAGCAGGTAATTTACCTATGGCACCATTTTTTATGTGAAAAGTACTGTACGATCGAAAAAAAAACGCATCAAAGACGGCTGGGAAATAACAATCGTTATTTTTGGCGACGTCAATCTCTACACGTCAATTACTAAAAATTAACATAAAACTGGTCAAAAATTACCACTAATTATAGAAAAATTAACACACGTTTGGCACCGATTTTTTTTCGATCGTATTGTATTAGGAACAATGAAAACAAAAGTATGTGCAATTTTAAAAACTTTTTATTTTATTGTATGTACATTGCAAAAACATCTCACTCCATCATAAAACTGAAACAGTGTGAAGGAAAATATTTAACAAAGCCAGTTCATTAAAACACTTCCCTTAAATTATCGTAAAATAACATCGATTCTTCTATCTCAGTCCAAAAATTAATATCACACTTGATTTATCAGTAAAAAAATAAATTACAAACTTTCGGCGTTAAATTTGACCAAGCGACATTATTAAACATCCCGAAAAAATCACTAATTTGTTATACAGCCTGTTTCCTAAATAAAGTAAAACATTTCGTTCTTTTACGTAAAATGATTCACCCTCTAAAATGTTTTATCTTACATAGTAAACACACCATATAAAATAGATAAAACTAAATTAAAGAATACTTAGAAAGAATACCGAAAATAACGAACAAAGAAGAACAATGGTAATAGAAGAATAAAGAACGTTAAACATTATGGTTTAACTTTCGTCCTCGTTGGTGGATCTTCTGTTCCTGTTGCGCGCTCCTCTTCTGATCTGGTTCAGGCAGGCTAACATTCGGATCATAAAAGCGGCCGGTACTGTGATGGTATCCCTGGTCTCTTCCAGCATAATAGCGTTTCTATTGATCAGCTGAAAAAATAAGTATATTAATATACAGGGTGGTAAAATAGGGCTAAAAATAACAAAACACTTAAAATTTGACCAAAAATTTATCCGTTGCGTTTTTTTGCATGTGAATTTATAAAGATTTACTTTATCTAGTATATGAAAATTCATTCAGATGGAAATGAACGAATGAAAAAAATAGCGATAACTCACCCCGTCGGCCAGGTCCTTATCGAAGGCGCACTCCTCCGACACGGGCGCCCACAGCTTGATGTCGTGGTCGATGCCGCTGGTGGCCAGAAAGGGCAACCGGGGGTGGGGGCGCAGGCAATTGACTACGTGCTGGTCGGCCTCCAGCAACATCTTCAGCTCGGCCGTGTGCCGGTCCCAGATGAACACGTGGCCGCAGTCCGACCCCGACATCACGTAGTCCCGGCCCCAGAACGTCGCTTCCTTTATCATCGTCCTAAGGGGAAAACGTAGTTTTATAATAAACATACTGAGTTTGTAGAACTGAGCGACTGATCAGCCTCAACTTGATACATAGATTGCAAGTTATGCATCCAATAACATAAAACAATTATCATAACTTTTTTTCAAGAAAAATGTGCGTTTAATCTAACAAAATAAAAAGTTCCCACATTTATCATTTCAGTCAAATAACTATTTACTCAAGTGTTTATTTTTTTATCAATAATGACATGTATTCTAACTATTTCCATTCAAAATATCTTAAAAACGGTTGCTCGTAGCGATTTTTACTTTAAGAGACATTTTTTACGTAAAAAATGACGGAAACGAATATTTTTTCACTTGGTAGTTTTATACAGGTAAGGACGAAAAGTTATTACTCTTCAAAATAGTTAAAACACGCGTAGGTTACGCCCCCTAGAAGTAGGACTCATATCGACATCTAAATGAATCAAATTTCTCATATCAAAAAGCACACAGACACAAATTTTTATCCAAATATCGACTATAGTAAATTAAATTTCTACACCCTGTAACTTCGAAACGAAGCATTTAAGACATAAATTTATACAAACTTTTTTATTTATTTATAACTGCAGAATATGCTGCGGAAGTTTCCTGAATACAGTTCTAACCACCCTGTATAATTATAGATTGTTAGTTATGCAACAAATAATACAAAGAATATTCGAATTGCAATAATTATTATTCCTGGCATGGAAATCCGTAGCAACCTGTCTTAATAATTCGACATCTAAAAAACTACTAAAATACGACTTGCCAGCGATTCCAGATGACAGACACAACACACAACTGTCACTGGCGGGGATTCTCCCGTTGGACGCACTACAGACAGATCTAGAAAACAATTATGAGTTTTTTTACCTTGCGTTCCTATGTCCAATATACTTCTTCTTCACCTCGGCCTCGTAGAGACTGGTCATGGGCTCTTCCGTTTTCTCAACTGCGGCCGATTCCGAAGTTATTCGAAGTTCCTCCTCCTCGGGATAATCTACGTCCATCTAGGCAAAAATATACTTGCTATAAAACCGTTCAAAAAATGTTTGGCTTAAGATTTTCTAACCTCCAGTGCTCTGTTGTTCGTTCCTGAACTTTCTCCTCTCTGATTTTCTTCGGTCGATTCATTGTTAGATTCAGCGGCAACCTGAGGAGGTTCGTTGTTGGCTCTCAGACTTATAGTTGAGCTGGATGTACTTTGCTCTGAATACCTGATAAAAATATTATTTTTATATATTATAATTTTAATAATTTACATATTATAATATTAATAATTAAAATGGTTTCTTTTCCTACCTGAAACTGACCGAAGGCTCCGCCCCGTGCTGATCGATAAACCCCTGCCTCAAATTCCTCAACGCGGCCAAATGAGTGTGCAGGTCGCTGGTGACAGTGGAGGGCCCCGTCCTGCTCTCCGAAGTCGAAGCGGTCGGATGCGGCGTTGTCGGCTCGGACGAAGAAGTCTGCGGTCTAGTCGAATTCTCGGCAGCGGACGTTTCATCGGCCCCAGTACTACCGTCGTCGGTCTCCATACTACCACCCGCGCCACCTTCCTACAGCACCACAAAAGGCAGAGAAATTAATCGAGAATAATAAAAAAAAAAAGGCGAAACTGACCTGTAGAGCTGCAGCGCCCCCTTCTCGCGCTTCCAAGACCCTCTGGGCGTTTTCCTCGGGGTCCAGGGAGTCTTCGCCTCCGGCCGATAGGGCGGCGCGCGTCATCGGGTCGTTCAGCATGCGAGACAAGACATCGGTCATGCGCTGCATTAGGGTGGCTTGCAACTGGGGTCTGGCCTGTCCTATTCCTTCAATATAGCAAATAAACTTGAAGAAACCGAACGAAATTTACTTAATAATGATAAAGGTGTGTTTACACGAGTCAAATCAATTGATCACAAGCCGCTTGAATTCACTTGACTCGTGAAAACGCGCCTTAACGTCGCCAAGCTAGGCAACTAAAGTTACACTAAATTTATAATATTTATAAAATCATACGTTTAATAACAATTTAATGGAAGAGAATGGATAATATCAATATCATAAAAAAAAGAGGGACAACTAATTACATGTTTATAAAATCAAGAAATAAAATTTATACCGGGTGATTATCAAAAGTGGCTCACCCTTATAAGTTTTTTATTTTTTCAGATAAAAAAACGAGATTTGGTATGTTAGTATATGACATAAATTAGGATTAATTGATACTGCTTTTTGATATGAGAATTGTTTTTAGTCCCTTCCTGTTTCACTGGCTGTGTTAAAATCACTAATTATTAATCAAGGAGCCTTGGAAAAATATATTTAAATAAATAAATGTTTGTATCTCGTCCTGGCCGTTTAAAAGATGCCTAAATCGTATTTTTAATCATATATCATTTTTTTCTAATGGAACGGGGATGGCTCATTAGCATATTTGGAAAAAGCATTTTTTTACAAATAATTTGGTACCACACGCTCGATATTTCGAGCCTAGATCATTTTTATCTGAAAAATTAAAAAAGATATAGAAGTGAGCCACTTTTTTGAGAAACACCCGGTATAAATATCGTTACTAACCTACGGTAGTTGATGTTTCTCTTTCAGGCCGTGCGTCTGGTCCCGTATCAGACCAATCTCCCCTCAACCTTAACCTCCTCACAGGAGGAGGAGACACTCTTTCCCTCTTACCCCGAAAAGCGCCGATTTTTTCCCAGCCTGACAGTTTTTTACCCGTGGCTTTCAGTTCAGTCGATGTACGTTCCTGTTTCATACATTTTTTTTAAGTAACATCAAATTATGTTTTGTAACATACTCTGTACCTGGACATTGAACAAATACAAATAATCTGAAGAATAACTGACAAGCATATCTCTTCCATCGCTATCGTAGTTCAAAGATGTTATTCTATAGTGTCTTTCTTCGCCGAATTTTGGAGCAACAAATGTACAGAAGGGTTGAGCCAGAAGATGTTCTACAAAAGAATTTATACGTTTGTACATACATAAGATGTAAATGAATTTACAAACCTCCAGGAGACACGCTTAAAAATCTTCTATCATAGACGCGAACAGTAGAATCAGCACAGGCAACTGCCAATTGATAGGAAGCGGTAGGGCTAATGGCCAGGGCTGTGATAGCCCTTTGGCACGATATCAGTATATCGTCTCGGCACCTTTGCTGAAAACAACTGAAAGAAACAATGCAAAAAAGGAACATTTATAGTTTTCATATACCTGCTCTTTGTTCTTAAATCGAACCAGCGCACTGTACCATCTTCACCACAGCTCATAAAAGTATGTGGATTATCTGGTATAGTCATTACCTCGTAAGTTGTTGTACCTCCGTGGCAAGTAAACTGGTTGTTGTAAGTATCTTGTGGCCGGTTTAAGTCTAAATAACGTCGCAAATTATTAGTATTTTCTCTTAAGTGTTGTATAACATTAAAATACCTGTATGCAACACAATTCCAACTCCTGAGCAACTGACAATCTGTTGGTCGTTGGTGCATGGCAGAAATTTTGCACTAAAAATGTTTGCCCTGTGACTAGTACAATAATTTGCTTCTACTTTGTAAGTGAATGCGTTTGTGATCACTAAATGCTGATCATCGGAACCGGACAGTAATAAGTTTCCTTTTTCATTCCAACAAATTGTATTGACACAACCTTTGTGAACTTGTAAGCGCTTCACCAGGTCCAGTCTTTGAACTAATGCTAAATCGTCTTGAATAAGAAAATAACGATGAAACAGGTATTGATTATTCACTAACAATAGCAAAGTATGGTTCTCTTAATCATTAAATATTCAAGATAGAAATGTATATACCTTTGGCCGTGTTTGAAAGACTTGTAATTTTCGAATCGTGTTGCCGGTTCCAAACATCCTTAAAAATAGAGTTCCTTTTGTCAGCCATTTCCAGAAAATCTAAATAAGTGAGGAAAACACACGGTACGGTACGTTTTTTGTTCTTCTATAATACAAAACTAAAAATAGACCAAGTTCTAGAGATCATTGTGGACTATTTAGAACGAATCACAGCCGTCAAAATACGAGTATAAGTTCGGGGATAAGGTGGCGCAAACATTTGGAATTATTTGCGTCCCGTCCGACAAAAATACTACACGTTTTTCATCGCTTTTCTTGTCGGAAAGGAAAACTGAAAACACCGATTACTAAAAACAGCCAGTTAAACGTCAAACAGCAAACAACTGTCACCCCGTCAAATGTCAAAACAAAATGTCAAATATTCAATAATAAAGATACTGCGCAAGCGTCAAATTAGGGAGTACTCTCGAGTAATCTTATCACCCTTAAATACAAAATATTTTAAATTTTTTAGATACACGTTTTAGGATTGCTATGTATTCTTTTTATTTTGAATGGTACTTTAGAAACGGATATTCGTAAGAGGCAAAGATTAGCAGCTATTAACAGACGGTAACTGTTTAACTATCTGCGATAAAGTAATAATACAATACTTAAATTTACCTAAAATAAATGCAGAAAAGTGCTTGCTTCCTGGTTGATAAGATCTAAAAACTTAACGTTTTGATTTATGTTTCAACAAAGTGGCCTGATTTATTTCTAACTACCCCACATCAAGCGATATAAGATGTCATGTACCGTATGATCGAAAAAACGGCGTCCAGTTGGCTTGAAAATGGATATCGGTGACATTTCCCATATAATTGACGCCTTTTTTTGATCATATTGTATTAATATTTCTCATAAAACACATTTTTTATGAAAAGTTCTTTATTTTAATTATATCATTCCAGGATCATTTTTTTCACATACAAATTGTTATAAAAATAAATAATAAAAATGAATATATATTTCAATAATTTTTTTTAACACTTTATAAATCAATTTAAAAGAATGCTACACGCTAAGTGGTCGTATTATGTTTTATATCATATATTATTTTATTAAACTATAATAGAAAAAACTAATTGGTATTATTTACAATATTTTAAAATATAATGTATAATTATTATTACTATATACTTACTAATTAATAAATCAATCACTATATGTTTTGTTATTTAAGTATGCTATTGTTTAGAAGATTACCCTTATTAAAAATGTATAAGAAATAATAATAGACATTATATCTCATTGTATTATATTACAATTATATTTTTTTATTATAATTCGGTTTTTTAAAATCATTTTATTAATTTTAGTTACGTACATAATATATTTATCTAAAAAGAACATAAAAATAAATTTTGTTGTTTGTATTCTTAGACAAGGAAAGTCATAAAAATATATATTTATTTTGACCACGATTTTTGTACACACTTTTATTTTCTAATCTTTCTTTATATAGAAATAATAAAAATTATTTTGTAACATATAATAGCGTTTGTTCGAATAGCGTTTAACGTGATACAGCGGAATGCTGCAGTAATTCCCTAATCGTCAAAAAATGATTTGAATAATCGGCGCCGGAAATACCAAGGGACTTGGGTGAGTTTAAAGTTTAAGGACCTTTTTAACTAAAGCAAACGCATCAATTGCCATAGCGAACCTCCAAGCAAAACGATTATAAGAAGCTACAAAGATGGTATAAAAGGACAAAGCTGTTATCAGTGACACTCGAAAAAGATTATTCGATAAATCGGCGATTGCGCGCGCGCCCTGCCGGCGACCTAGACAAAAACCCGGGCCCGCTGCATTTTCGTTTCATAATCAGTTGAGCATTTTGAAAGTGCGGTACTACCTTCGACTCCAAATGGCTTCCGACGAGACAATAGTAAATAACGGCAGCGAACAGTACTTCGAGGGGGTGGAAAAACTGCTGGAGATATGGTTCACCACGTCGGATGGAGACGACAAGTACGCCGACTTGAGAAACATACCCAGGTGAGGTACCTAAATTCTAGTGTTATCTGGTAGACCGGCAAAATTTAAGCGAGGTTAGGAATTCCGGAGTACCAGCTATACTCTCGGTACGACTTTAAATACAAACCGTTTTCTGTAAAAAAATTCTGAAGCTGTCACTGTTTTTTTTTGCGTATGTCATTTTGACAGAAACCTTTTGCTTCGTTCAAAATTATTTTAATATATTTTTACTAAAATTAAAATTGCTAATTACTTACGTACACTTTCTTATATTGTTAAAGAAAAATTCGAAACACGCACTGAACTTATTTTAACTAGTTTGAAAAATTATATGGGTAATAAATTGTGAGATTGGATGATAATTTACTAATTTTTGACAATTAAAGGTACCACTAATTAAAAAAAAAATATATATCGAAAATGTGTGATATAGGGTAAACTACCCAGTTAGTGGCACTCAGCCAGTTATTGGCACTCATTTTTCAGAGAATATCATATTTTTATAACTTGTGATATTTGGAAATAAATCTGGACATACCAACTGAATCAGATTGCCATATTTATTTCAAGCCTTGAATTATTTAGCAAAGTAGAAAAAATCGTTGTTTTGGCGCGTTGCGTTGTTGGAAAAAATCGCAAAATAAAGCTAATATTTTAGAAATAACTACGTTATTAAGTAGGTAAAATATATGCTTTAAATTTAATGTTCCCATATAAATTTGACAATTGCGAATTTTTGTTAATTTTGATGGTAAGGTTCAGAAAATTCTCCTAAATCTAGTGATTGGCGCTCATACCAAAAATACGCACCTAAAGCAATATTATGTATAGGTAATTAAGTGACCAGTCATTGGCGCTTTTTAATTTAAACCAAACTCAAAAATATCAAAGACATAAAAAATAATTGAATACAATATAAGGTATTACTATTGTTTTTTAATTTCGAATAAAAAAAAATCGGAATTGTTTCGTTAAAATAAATTATAGTAGAGTAGATTAACAAGATCCAGACCAAGAAAAAATAATTTTTACTGATTCCGTTAGATAAAGTATAATCGTATATCCTATTAAAGTGCTAATAATAACTGGGTGGTTTACCCCTTGTTTTACCCTACATAGTTTGATTTATTTACGTCTCCGTTATTTGGTTTCATTATATCTTATTTATATCATGTGTAGGTACATGGTAGGTACTCTAAATATACTGTACGAAATCAGTACCTATTAATTTTGACCAGAACGGAAAACATAATTTTTAAGTATGTTGTAAAATAAAAATTTTACTTTTTGTATTACTGTTTTATTACTGTATGTTATTATTTTAAACATGAGGCATGGTAACCCGATGTAACAGCAATAATATTACTGACCACTGAAACCACTAGATGCACAATTTTTCAATAAGTAATTTAAGTGTTCAATGAGTTAATGAATACCCAGATGTATATTTTTTTATATCATATTTCACATTTTTTAATTTCATTTGATTAATATGTAAATATTAAAATTTATTCTTTGTTAATCTCTGACTTTTATTTTATATGGAATTTTAGAAGTAAGCTTTGAAATTTATTAGGATTTAAAGGGTTATTTTAAGCTGGTACGCGATAATTCAATTATGTATTATAAACATTGTTTTTATTTAGGTCAAAGTTGGAATCTCTGATGAAGATTGTTAGATGCGAAATCATCAGTTTTGTCCAGAACGATCAGATCGACGCCTATGTACTCAGGTAAGAGCATCCTTTACCTTAAAAATCAATATTTAAAGTTGGAGAACTAGGCATACGTACTTTTTAATTATTTAAGACACTGAAATTTCCATTCCTCCGAAATTATGTCTTAAATATTTACGAATTGTGTGTGATATCAATAAACATTATACAATAGCAATAACCTTGGCGAATATATATTCATTAATAAAAAATTACGAACTCTATAAATAGAACCAGTTTATGTAGAAGTTCTTTTTAGGACTCTGCCAATAAAAGCCAATTCAATTGACAATGCAATTTTGGCACATTATAAACTTGGTAAACGTTCGTTATAAATGAATCAAGTCTGATATATCTTTATTTATATTGATATTTGTCTGAAAAATAGTATAAATTACAAATTAATAAAAAAATGTCAAGATAGTGGCTAATAATACTGAAATCACATAAAAGGTCAGATAGAGCTAGTGATATTGATGATCAATGAACTATTGTTTGGCGAACTTAGTTCCTTTTGTTTGCATATAAGTAAATTTTAAAACTGATATAGTGCAGTCAGAAATGGTTGAATATATTCAAAATTGGCTGCTAACTCGCTGCTACCATTAAAAAAGTGATGAAACATTTCTTTGTCCAAAAGTCACCAGGATCTACAGTTTCAAATCTACTTTATCGCTTACCATTAATAAATAAAGTGTAATTAATTATCAATTAGACAATATTGACAGATATAACTGGAAGATAGCAAACACTAACTAGAATAATGTTTTTTATCGAAAGTCTGAACTTAAATTCACAGTTTGTAGCATGAACTTGTTTTAACAAGACGCAATGTTTTTTTACTTTGAAATTATTGTTGTGTAAGGGTAAGAAGAAAGAAATACAGGTTTATTTGAATGTTAAAGGTTTCAAAAATTCTTGTTGCCATAGGAAAAAAATTTAGAAAGAAGTACCACTTGACAGTGCTTAACAGTATTTTATCAAATTTCAGATAAAAGAAATGAAAATTCCGCACTATATAATCAGATTAAAGTAGCAGGAAAAAGACACTTGAAATGTCTTAGGAGACATAAGGGGACATATAAATTACAATACCTAGTCTATACAGGGTGATATTGTTTTTTATACACAGGACATAAACAAAAAGTATAGAATAAAATTATATTATATAAAATTTATTATTTTAATTTTTCATTGATTCGTAAAAGGTGAATGAGAACAAACTCTTATCAGACGACATTAGTGTATAGGGGGTTAGTTTAATACTGTATATCTCAAGTCTCAAGAATGCGATTTTATCATTTCAAGTGTTATTACAACACGATTTAAAAACGGATGTTTTCAGTTTTAGAACTTTATTGAACTTGACAGCTTCACAAATAATACTACAGATAAAATATATTTAAATATCTTTATGCGGTGTCTCGATTTAGAGTACGGCATTATATATAATTGAACGACAGCCTTTTAATAATGTAACAATGATGCTCTTGTAAGCCTAAATCAGTTAAGATGGGCATGATTATCGAGACACATCTTAAAATAAGTCACTTCATTTTTCACTGACTACTTGTATATACAAAAAGTCAAAACACTTAGATTTTAGTATAAGTTGTCTCGGAGAGATATCATACTTTTTTTTCTTCAAATTTATATTTATTTCCTGGAAAATTGTTGTTTGAATTTTCGTTCTAAATGATATTCGTTAATAATAACTCTGAGAAACATATCGCATTTTTTTACATTAAATAGATTTAGAAATTTTATTTAAAACATCTCCACATTAAATGCAAATAATATTATGATTGAAAATGTAAATTAAAAGAATAATTACACTCATAATTAATTAAAATAGAATTGGCAGCACTTTTAATATAAAAAATAAACAGAGATGAGGGCAGACGATAAAATTATTTTGAAAAATCAACACGAACTCATTTTCGATTTCTTGTCCTATATTTTTGGAATCGTAAAAATTGTAGTTTATTATTTTAAAATTAGGCATAAACAGATAACAGTAGAATTAAGAACATAGTCATCTAAAATTAGTACCAAATATTTCATTTAAATTTTAAATTCAAAGAAAATTCCGCTGCAAAAAAATTTAATTACATTTTTTTCTACTTTATAAGCATAAAGGTAAACAAAACATAACTATGTACTGTTTAACAGCTGATTTAGAAAACAATACCGCTATTGTGGCATAATAATTTGCGGGATTTCACTCGGTATTTTCTGTGGAGGTCCAGAATTTGATGCTGTGCTTTATTTAGACTTGCTGGAATATCGATTTTCCGCTCTCTGGCTCCTTGACAAGGACAAGGTCAGGTTTTCCTCGATTTTGGCCTGTCGAAATCTCTCTCGCTAGTCTGTTCGCTGGACATTAATTTTTAATTGACGGAAAACCGTCAATGTTTGAGAGAATTCTTCTTATTATTTATGGTAAATTGTTAATTTGTGTAATAAGAATCGATCCAATAGAAATTATCATTATTTGTAATTTCGAAAGTCACTGGAACCTTAGCTGGAACGCCGTTTTTTATTCAATCATATGGTGTATGCTATTTTGGAACATTCAAAACTATTTCTAAGTATTTATGTTTAGGTTAGTCGCTTATATTTATATACTCTGTTTTTATTTTCCCCATTCGAAAATATTGAAATCTTGCCAATATTATGCCGTCGGTTCTACGTCCTGGTAGACGCGTTTTGACGCCACTCATACGTTTCATCATCAGACTATATTAAACGGAAAGTTTTGCCAGTTCCTGTATTCAATGATCGATTTATTTAATATTACAGTGTCACGTGCATCACTGTTATCTCTGTATAGGCTTTTTAACGTAAATGAATCACATAAGATTCAACAACAATAAATGGGCAACAAGTGTTCAGATCTATGGAGTGACATATTTGTCGATAAGATGCAATTATTTTTACTTGCAAAAATTTATAATGGTTATTTTAGCAGAATTCCTGTAGAATGAATAATAATAATAATAATAAAATCCTATGCAGAGTTTAAAAAAATGTTTTTTTTAAACGTCACAAAAGTATTAATTTTTGCGACGTGATAAATAATATAAAAGTCATTTTTTAAATTAAAAAACACTCGTCCGTCAAACGTACAGCCTCGCAACAAGAAGTGTCATTTTTACTCCTAATAAAACAATATTACTATGTTTTACTGTTGCTATTTATTATTTTCAAAATTTAAATTTAATTATTTTTTCTTATTTTAGTGAAAGTTCAATGTTTATATCGAAAAGGAGATTCATATTGAAGACATGCGGAACCACTACTCCCTTACTATGCCTGGAACCTCTGCTTCTTTTGACAGAAAAATACGCGGGTTTCAACGAAGTTGAAGATTTATTCTACTCCAGAAAAAACTATAAAAGACCGGAATTACAGGTCACACCACACAAGCACTTTGATCAAGAGGTAAGAATAAATTTCCTATAAATGTTTACTATTTTCTATAAAATTCGAATACCTTTCTTGATCATCTTGTATAATATTTTATTAATATGGACCTGTTTAGGTCGCCCTGTTGGACGCTATCTTCCCCGATGGCGCTGCCTACTGTTTGGGAGCGGTCAACAGAGACTGTTGGTACCTCTACACTTTAAATCCCTTACCACAAAGAAAAAGGAGGGTGGCCCTGCCATCCACAGAGCCGGATCAGACTTTGGAGATTCTAATGACCGATTTGGATCCGGAAGTGATGGCAATATTTACCAAAGAAGAATGCCTGAATGCTACAGAAGCGACTAAAGTAAGTTTAGAATGAATTCGTTTGTTTTGGATTAATTTATTTATATTTATTTCGGTTTTTAGAAATCGGGAATCGATAAAATCATACCCAACATGGTTATAGATGGGTTTTTGTTCGATCCTTGCGGATATTCAATGAACGGGGTGACTAAAAATGTGAGTAGTTTCAAAATATACAACTAAAGTTTCAATTTCTGAAATAATTATTGTAAAGATTTTTTCTTAAATTATTAAAATTTCATTTTTATTATGTGTCTTTTTCATGTCTTTCAGAAGTCAGAAATGACTGACGTAAGTTGTATTTCTTTTTAAATTAAAAAAATCCATCACAGGTAACTTTTCATTTAATTGAACTTGTTGCGGTTTTTTGTCAATTTTTTTATTATGTATTGTTTTAAAAATCAGAATATTTCTCAGGGTTGTTACATGACCATCCACATCACGCCAGAACCAGATTTTTCCTATGTGAGTTTTGAGACTAATATTCCTAGCAGTTCGATCAAGGACACCATCGGCAAGGTTCTGGAAACTTTTTTGCCCGGAAAGTTCACCGTGACAGTCTTTACTAACCAGGTAACTAATATAATACACTTTAACTAGCGTTTGTCCTGTCTTATTTATTTATTTTTATTAAAATTGTTAACTTAAAATGTACGATAAACCATTTAAGCTAATTTATTAAACGACTTTAATTTACATTGATTTAATTAAGTAATATACCGCGCTATTTATGGTGCCTTCACCATTATGTCAACAATTCAAACTTATTCAAACTGAAATGCTGCGCTTTATTCTGCGCTTAGATATCCTAATGCATATTTTTCGAACCTTTCTAGTCATTCCTTTTGCTCCGACTAGAAAATTCTTTTATTACAACCAGGGTTTCCCACGTTGTTTAAGAACTTAAACTTTATGTTGAAATTAACTTAAGATTTGTCTTTTTGAAACTGACTTGTTGCAGCTCTGTGCTAAAATATACGTGTCTTTCTCCTCAATTAAAACCTACAAAAGATATAAGTCTTTCTTTGTGTTACAGGACTCCCCCAGCAAGAACAACACCAAGGAAGTACTGGAACTTCACCAAATAGCGAACAAGTACAACCGGCGCGACGTGCAACAGTGCAGCTTCAAGAACTACGACCTGCTCTACGCGTTCTACACGAAATTCCCCAGCTGAGGGTGTCGAGCCGAGCTGCGTCGCCCCCGCGCAGCTACCACCCCCTCCCCTCGCTCCCCCCGTCACACTTCCTCCCCCTCGCGCAAGTCCTCCCGTTCGATTTCCAGCATTTATTCCGACATATCTCGCCTGGTGTCCGACAAAAGTTTACAAGCCTTCTACCAGGCCCTCTGGCGCAGTTTCAGGAAGCGCTCGTTCCGTTCTTCTTCCTCCAGGCGATTTTTTAGTTGCGCCTGTTCCAAGGAGCGCGACGTGGCCGCCAGGTTTCGCGAGACTTTCGGCCCTTTCTCCTTCTTCTTCGTTTATTTCGCGCTGTTCTCGTCGTCGCCCGCCTTCACCTTCACCGACTTCGAGTCCCCGCTGGTGCTGTTCTCGTGGTGGCGCAACAAGATCTCGTGAGAGAGGGCGCGCGGGTCGAGTGGGGGTGGTGTGGCGTAGGGACAGCCTCGGCGCCCGCCTTTAACCTATGAGGGTTGGACGGGCGGACCTAGACTACCGTTGTACATATAGGGAGCTCTCTACGCTGCAAGACTACACCCGTCTCGGCCGGTACAGAACGGATCGCTCGAAATTTATGACGCCTCGTTGTTTTTTCCCAATTAGTTTTTGTTACGTCCTTTCCAGTTACGTACTCTCTCTTGCGACGCGGTACTACGGTGTGATGGAATGAGAACGATGTCGTAGCGGGTACAGAAATGACATTTCAGTTTGGGCTAACCTACAGTATATCTCCGGATTGTCTTTACAAGAGGAAAAACTTTTTTATTATTGACATTTTGAGTAAAATGCATTCTTCATAAAAAATTTTGCTTGTTCTAAAACGATTAACCCCGTTTATACTTTTCCAAATTTCCATACCCTTTTAGAGAAAATTAAAAAAAACAACATGAAATTATGGTTGAATTTTTTCAAAGTCGTTTCTGCGGTAATATAATTTAGATATCATTCTTTGTTGGATTATTAATTTTGATTAACGTCATATTTCTTGCTGGTTAAAGTTTAATTATTTCTAAAACTGTATGGAAATTTGGAAAAATATAAACGGGATTAACCGTTTTAGAACAAGCAAAAATTTTTATGAAGAATGCATTTTTCTCAAAATGTCAATAATAAAAAAGTTTTTCCTCTTGTAAAAACAATCTGGGGACATACTGTATAAATATGTCTGTCAGCTATATTGATCTTCAGTTATATGAAGTCTATATTGAGTGATATATGACTGAGAATGTAGTCACAGTGGGCTTTGAAACGACAATCGACAGCTCAGCTCTACAGGGTGTTCCTTAATGAAAATACTTTTTCCCTGTTCTAAGCTAAAACTTCATATGAATCTCAAAAATTAAGATGTTTAAAACGTACACTTGTATGAAGTTTTTTCCTTAGAATAGGCCCAAGAATGACCCCCTTTATTATTACCACGGCATTAAGGAATTAACACCCTGTATGTGTAATTTATTATAGATTTATATAAAACTTGTCATAATTAAAAGGAATAATAATTTTTGTTTTTAAATAAAACTAATTAAATTTGCACGTCTGAAACTGTTTACTTCTTTCTAATCTACGATTCGACACTAACTATCATCGAAAATCATTTCAAAAGCTGCTGTGACGCCGTTTTTTACGTATTTTAACGTTCGTCAAAAGGATCTCAAATAAATTTTTAACGATCAAATAATTTTTTTACGCCTATTATGACGTCGTTTTTATTCGATCATGCTGTATTTCCAAAAAGGACGTTACGTAGAAGTCCGTGTTTATTTGGCGAGTGTGTTCAAAGAAAGTTGTACACTGACGCGAGTTTGCTTCTAAATCAAAAGCAAAGTCGCTTTATCGAATTAGTACTATTAGTACTCTTACCAGTGTACAATTTATCGTCACACTTTTATAGTTAAACGTAGTTGGGGTACATACGCGTATAAAATAATTTTATATGTGCAAACATCCCTAGGTAGTTCAAATGAACCTAGTACTGTCAGAAATCTGTCATAAACTATAGAAGAGCGAGATTTGAATTTTTATTGGCAGAAATGCTGTTAAATTATTAATTATTTCTGTTAAAAAACAAAAATTTAGTTATACATATCATTAACATATCTTTCTATTTATCTGAATATCTTGAGACGCATTTGAACTATTTTTTATTACATATTTTTTATATGCGTATGTAGAAAAAAAAATATATTTAATCGATATCATGGGGCCTTTAGGGAAAAATATAAACAAAGTGTACAAAAAGTTAGGTGCACCGAAACAATATTTTCACTGCTTTTTTTCGTCGGTTGATTTTTGTCTTATTATAAAAAAAACCATCAGGGTTGGCAAAGGTCCATTGTTGTAAAAAGATTATAGAGTAGACAATATATCTATTTTCGAAATGTATCGATATAATAAAAAAAAATCTGGACTATATATTACAGTAAGCAAGAATATATAAATATATGTTCCAAGGAACGATACTATATAGATTTTTAAAGTATATAAATGTATATCTATATTTAAAAAGTTTATATGCATAGATGTTTTGACGTAAAAACAAACTAAAATAAAATTTGTGACATACCTTATTTGTTTTTTATATATTTTTTTAAAGGTTTATAAAAAACTGTTTTTTTTAATTAATGATATTTTTTATTTCGAGTTTGTGTTTTCGGGGGAGTTTTTGAATGTATTCAAATTTATTAAATGACAAAGTAAAATTACAGAATTTTTAGCAAAATAGAGATTAGTTTTAGTTCCGCTTGTAATAATTGTTAATAATGTATGTATCGATAATTTTAAAAGTCATATTTCATTAAAACTTTACAATAAGCAAAATAAAAGTGTTTTATTATTTCCTACATTTTCGTATTCCTTTTTTAGAGTTAAAATAATAAAATTAAGTTTTTTACCCGCTGAAAAAATTACTGAACTCATAAGTTGCATAATTTATATTTAGGATTTCAATCATTTCTGGTGGGACTCTTAGGGATTTAGGGATATCAAATTGTCTAAAAAAATTAAAACGTTTTATTTTTTTTTTAATATAACACATAATAAATAAAATATATATCTATAATATTATAAATACTTAACAACAAAAAAAAGTTTGGTCTTAATTTGGAATTGAGAACAAATTTTATACAGTCCATCAGCTATAAATAATTGAATAAAATATTCAAATGCAACATAATACATAAAATAAAATGGAATTATAGAAGTGTCGTCGTAAATCTTAGAATTTTTGATGGAATAATAACTTCAGTCAACTCCAAATTCATTTTTAATCCACGGATACTTCTTTGGACACGGATAACAGGTTTGAAACTCGAGTTTTTCCTGTAAATTCTCATCGAAAAGATAACAAGTGTTGGGTTCTTCGCAACCCGAAGCCTGCAGCTTTTTCTGACAGTTCCACGGTGCAAATTTGAGCAGTTTCTTGACAGGTGTCGGATTCATCATCCACTGGATCGCTTGTGAGTTTGTCACGAACCAAACATCCGGTTTTGACAGTATATGACTCAAAAACATCTTAAAAAATACATTTTTTTACCAAGAATAATCAAAATCTATATTCTTTTACCTCAAAAGCTGCTAAATATTCGCTGTTTTCGAACCAGGCAGCTTGCAAATGGATGCCGAAAGGCGCTTTATTAGTCGAATAGAATCTGTTAAAATTCCTGATGAGGGTGGTCAAGATTTCTTGGCCTGTCAATTGAGGAGGACAGGAATCTAAAGTGGCACAACTAATGTCGGTGGCTTCTAGCTGGTTTATCACCATTTGCCATAGTCCTGGATAGGATTTTGTAGGACAATTTTGTCTAAAACCTAATGTTATATTGATTACTATCTCTAAAATATAGTTTAACTATAGCTATATGCATAATTGTAAAGTAATAAAAACTACCATGCATAAAAAAATAATTATATAATTATCATTAAATTTATAATAAGTGATTCAACCATTTCTGATTAGACTATATCTGAAAATTTAAACACATTATGCATAATTTTATTAAGTCAATATATTTTCCTGGTTCAGCTATTTATACAAATTAAAAGATTCAAATGTATACATCTCAAAAATGAGTACTTATGACTAACCTTATACTTACTGGTACTTACATTCGTGTGGCATTTTGTAATCCATGGTGTAAGGCCATAAAGGCACATACGAATATGGAGCCACCACAGAACTATCGTATTGGAATCCAAACTCCTTCATCATAAGGTACTGCCTGTTCCAGCCTATTCTAAGATAGGGTACTCTAAGACCTCTGATTTCTGACAGTTTTACACCGGCATATTTGTTTAAAATATTAGCTTCTCCCACCATTTCGTCGAACCAATCTTCGACGGTTGCATTTTTTGACCACCATTCTTCAGGAAGTTTATGACTACAATTTTATATAAGTTTTTTATTTTATTTTTTAGACAAACTTTAACACATGTAAAATGCTACTGAATTAAAAGTCCTTTATTTCTATATTTTGTATATGACTTACGTTACAGAGTGAACTGCAATTTCGTTTCCTCTGTTCCACAATTTTTGCGTGTAAAAATAATTGTTATACTGATGACTGACAAAAAACGTAGCTCTTATCGGACAATTGTTGGGATTAACATATTTGCCGCCAAAGAAATTTTGGTATAGGTCGATATTTTCATCATTTATAGCGTCTTCAAACGTTAAAAGTACCATTTGCGGTACATCACTGGGATGCAAGTTACCCGGTATTTCGGTACCTAAAAAAATAGAACTACCTAGTACAATAAGTCACACAATAACCGAGTGAAATAATAATACCTTGAAATTTAAAAAAAATATATATTTTTTGGTTAAATTTTGAAAATAACTGGATTTTTTCTGGGTTTACTTTCTTGTAACTTTAATCTACTATCTATGTTGCCATATTATCATGATATTATATGTTTTTTTTAATTATAAAAAATATTTTTTTGGAAAAATGCAAAATTAAAAAAAAACTAAAACTAATTGTAAGCCACTGCTGACGATTAGTGTCCGTTGGATTAACGCAGCAGTGTTTACAAAAAAAAAACTATTTTATTTTATAGATTTTCTTACAGTGCGAATTACTTATAAGACTTTTTTGGATAAATGAACCACCACAGAAAGGTATAGACATTTAAAAAAAATGTTTCGCGAAAAAATACTGATAAAAAAAAATAAAAAAAATAAAAAAAAATATAAATGTTAAAAAAAATATATATAAAGATATAAAAGTATATTCCCTATTTTAACTTCTTTTGCAATCGCTGACATTGACTTTTATCGATCTTTAATCTCAATACGCAAAGCATATGACGAAACAACTTATTGTTTAAAGCACGAAACACCTTCAGTTACTTCCTATCCGCATAGAATTATTATTTCTTATCAACCAAATCTTCGCGTAATAAATAAAACACTAAACTCTTACCATTTAGCGAACAAAAGCATTTGGGCAAAGCGCACTTTGCGCTATCGCAAATTTGAGCACCTCTAAAATTTTTGGCGTGATCACAGTGAGTTTCGTCGCTTCCATCAGGGCAATCGTTCGATCCGTCGCAAAAATAATCGATCGGAATACAGGTCTCCTTATCCTTGCAAAACTTGTGGTTTTTCTTTTCGCACGTAATGATTTCAGCTTGGTTAGAGCTGGAAGGTTGCGGATTTCTTGAAACTTGAACCTCAGCTAGATATAAAAACAGAAAAAATTCAAATCTGGTAATTTTGGTTGCGTATAAAACACTAAATTTGATTTTCGAAAGTCAATGCAGATTAACAAACCGAAATTTTCATTTTCAGAGAATAAAAAAAGTAAAGTTGCGTAAACTTTCTACCAAAGAGAATTTTCCCTAATCTAAATAATATATTATTTAATAATTATGTAAGTACGTAATTAAAAAAAATACCTGTAGTCGCTTTATTACAGTTTATAACTTTGGTTTTATCCTCGCAAATTTGTTTGTCAACATCGAAAACAAGACCTGAAGAACATCGAAATTCAAACACCTCCCCTTCTAGACACAAAAAATATTTAGAGCATTTTTCTACGGTCCACACTGAGTTCGAGTCGGACGAGTCGAGATTTCTATAGAATTTTCCGTTTTCTAAACATTTCGTAGTATCGCACTTAACAGAAATAACTGAAAAAAAAACCCATAAATATAAGGAAATTGTTGTTTGGCTCGCTAACATTAAGGAAACGATTAATTAAGTCGATAGGAAATAATTTATAAAACACTATCTTACCGAAGAGTAAAAGCGTTATTTTCACTGCGCGCAAATAAAAAATTGATTTCTCGCTACCACCAGCGCTGGCCATCGTGTTTTGCCTACTTCTCGAGCACACTGCATCTCCGCCACATGTGTGAGTACAAATTATATGTTTCCTTTTGCTTTATTAAGAACTTTCTCAATCATTACCATTGGAAAACGGTCATTGGCTACCTGTCCGATTTTTTCTATCGCAACGCGCAGCAATTAAAAAGAAATTATTGTTATTCTCGTCATAATTCGTACAGCTTACGCAACGACTAAATGTTTTTCTTGTTATTTTCCTCTTAATATAATTATTTTATTTATAAATTTCCGAAAAAGGCCATCTTTTTAAACTTTCACTTAACGGCGCCGAAGTTTAGTGCCTGAAGGTTACCCATCCTGACATAACTGTCAAGTTTAAAAATTTGTAAATAAACGTTGATGTTTTTTAAACTTTTTTACTAAAAATGACCGAATCAATTGATATAGAAGTTATTTTAAATACCCAAAGGTATATAACGTATGTAACAATCATCACTTTACTTCATTATCGTATTTTTGTAGCTCTATATCGCAAGATAGTATTAAAATAGTTATTCAGAAGTTTTTGGAGGACAGTAACGTTTATCCAAACACTGTTGTGTCTGAATTTAATAAAAACGAAGACTATTTCTCCTCACTAGTTAAGTGCCTCATAATTGGAAGTGTTTCGAACTCTAAGGAAGTATGTTAGAGGTAAAATACTAATCCTGTACTGATGAAAAATTATTTTAGCCTAACACACGTATAGACGTAAAAAATGTTAAAATAAATTGGTTTATCTACTGCCTGGATCCTTACGGTACCGTTACATCGTCTGATACCGATGAAGAAGGTGGGGAAATTACTCTTGCAACATATCTAACACTACCTTCTTTGGAACTGTTTACCCAATGGGAAAATTTATATTACGAAGATAACATTAAGGAAAATGTAGGTAATGATTGTATTTTGAAATCATTTCTGCAATAAAATATCATTTTTAGCTATTAAAATACGCTAACACGATTATGGAGTTCTCAAATCGAGGCGTCAATGCAAATATAGTGAGTTGCAATAAAGTGATATTACTGCATGGTCCCCCAGGAACAGGGAAAACATCACTATGCAAAGCACTATCACAAAAACTATCGGTTAGAATGAGACACAAATACACTTCTGGACTATTAATTGAAATCAACAGTCACAGTCTGTTCTCAAAGTGGTTTTCAGAAAGCGGCAAATTAGTGAACAAAATGTTTACAAAAATAAGGGAAGCTTGTGAGAACGAAAACTTGTTAGTGTGTGTTCTCATAGATGAGGTGGAGTCTTTAGCTCATGCACGTGATCAATGTATTTCAGGAAATGAGCCCTCTGACTCTATTAGAGTTGTGAATGCAATGCTAACACAAATAGATCAAATCAAAACGTTTCCTAATGTTCTTATATTTGCCACATCCAACATGACCGAGGCTATAGATTTGGCATTTGTCGATAGAGCTGATATTAAACAGTACCTAGGTCTGCCCAGTGTTCCGGCTATATATCAAATATATCGTTCCTGTTTAGAAGAATTAATAAGAGTAAGTTTCCCCATTTTATAAGACTTGATTTTTAACGTTCAGTATTGTTCTTAAGGTTCAGATAGTGAAAAGTAATTTTAATCTGGCTAATACTGAAATAATAGCTAAAGGAGATAACTCTGGGATTGAACTGGACGAGACTAGTAAAAAACTGCGCAACATTTGTGAGGAAAGCATCGGTTTGAGTGGAAGAACTCTGAGGAAGATCCCATTTTTGGCTCATGCTCTTTTTATTCATACCGATTCGGTTGATTTAGATTTATATCTCGAGGCGATGATGCAGGCTGTTGAAAAGGAGCATTTTAATAAGAAATCATTTAATACAAAGAAATAAACAGAAAAAAAAATATATTGATTAAGCTAAAACTAATAAAAAGTTGTTCTTTTAATAAATTATTTATTCATAATTTCGTTTTTTATTTTCTTCAAATGATGGATTTCTGTGCACACTTCCTGTAGTCTAGTTTGAACATTGGCCGCCTGTATGATCCATTGTAAAGCTTGTCTGTATAGATTTTGAGCGAAAGTAAGGTTTTGCGGTGTGAGATATCCAAACCATTTGATGGGATTAATATACTTTTCGTTGTCTGGTTTATTTGATTCCAAATCAAACTGGTTTATGCCGTGTTCATCTTTGCTGGTATTTACTGTAGTTAAAGCACTAAATTCTGTGCTGCTATCTGTTGGTAGCTGTAAACTGGATACACTATTCTGCCCTAAAATGTACCTAAATATTACTTAATAGTTATATTGTTGAGTAGAATTGAAATCTACCTGGTTTTAGCCAAATGTGTTTCACCACCAATCATAGCATTTTCGGCATTTAGCTTTAACTCTATTTGTTCTTGCATCAAAGTTAATGAATCTAGAGTAAGTTTATCTAAGGTATTGCAAATTTTATCTAAATCTTCAGTGTCTTCGACCATTATTTAGATTTTGCTGTAAGAAAAAATTTAAATAAATTTTCACCATCACATGATTTTGACATATTTACTTGACTTCTAAACCTTAGAAATATTCTTTCTAGATGGATCAATGCATTTATCAATTCTGTAGAAAGGATGTCCCATATGAGTTACGTCAGTTAAGGGCTATTTTTAAAGTCCTTTAGTTATTAACAATAATGGCTTGGAAGCAACACAATAGCAAGCTGGATTTGAATTTGAATTTGAAGTGTTTTAATAATTTTATTTACATTAATGAAATTAATGATATACACAAGAAATAGTTGGACCAATTTAATGACATCAAAAAATACGTCAGAAACAGATGATGTTTAACTAATGTGATACTCTAGAAACATTCATGCTCTAATCTCTAATATGTCTGGAACAGATCCACCAACACAAATATGACTCTAAAAATATTACTAGAATTTATAATTAATTTTTATATAATAATTATCTATTAAATACAACTTTTAAGATAATGCTTCAAAAACATAATTTCAATATAATAGTAGGGCCTAATCTTTATATTAATCATTGTAATTATTTTTTTTTATATTTTATAGAAAAAGGTAAAAAGTAGTTTGAAAAACATAAATTCCCTATGCAATGTTTTGTTTTGTTTGCGAATGGTGGGTTTTGGAATGCGTTTTACGACTTCCCATCGTATAAACAAAGAAATCTTGCTAGAAAACTAGAGTTTCAAGATGCCGGGGACAATTTTAGAGAATCTTAGCGGCAGAAAACTGAGTGTTTTAGTTACCATTTTGGTTCTAAGCCAGTTGGCTTGTTTTCTTGTTGGTTTAATATCGCCCAGCCCGGCCTCAACACAAAGTATTCTGGCAACAGTTTGCGTAGACGATAAACCCCAAGACGATAAGTTAAACCACTGGTTCGATTTAGGATGCTCTAAAAAAATACATTTAGAGCGCGAAGAATCCACTATAGGTTTAGATGCCAACAATTTAGTAAGTCTTTTCAAGTTGCATAATAAGGACGCATACTATCAAGCTTTTTTATTAAAATAATGTAGGTTTTTGCAATGCAAATGCCTCTGCACGGTCAAGATTATTCCAGTTGGCAACAGAACCTAGTTGGCGAGCTTCAAATCGATGTTATCTACAAGGAAGGTCAAAAACTGAGCAATCCCATGATAGAGCTCCTTCTTGATGCCCGCATAGCTTACAGTGATAAAACCAAGGACGGAGGAAGGACTCCATGGAAGTATTATACTCATTCCCAAACAAAAAGGTAATCGCTACATGTTCAAAGTGTTTTTTCTAGTTAAATTTGTGTTTTAGGTTCATGGATTGTATTTTTAATGAAACATTTGTTAAAGATGGTTACCCATATGACTGTACCATGGTGCCATTATTCGAACTAGGCTCATTATTTCACGATTACTACCTGTTAAATTTAAGGTTGCCCTATGATAAGAAGAAAGAGATCAATACGGGTTTAGGTAGAGTAAGTGACATATATCTTCACACGATTCACATGAACGGGGGCTTCACTAAGGTCTGGGTTAGCTTAAAAACTGTCTTTTTCCCCATTATCCTGGCCATAATGATATGGTTCTGGAATCGAGTACATTCCTTGTCCAGAAAACCAGCTTTGTTAGAATATATGCTGATCAGTTTAGGCGGTACCCTGGCATTCCTTGATTTGCCTATAGAGTATTTCACCCTGTACTTTGACATGCCATACATGCTGTTTCTGAGCGACATTCGTCAAGGTGTTTTTTATGCCATGTTACTCTCTTTTTGGTTGGTTTTCACTGGAGAACACATGTTGATTCAGGAAACAGGCGAGAAGAATTCTCTGAGGAAGTACTGGAAGCATTTGAGTTCCGTAGCGGTGGGTTGTGTGAGTTTACTAATTTTTGATCTGTGTGAACGAGGGGTGCATCTGGTAAATCCGTTTTACTCCATTTGGGTGACACCATTAGGTACTAATTTAGCTCTAACTTTCGTTATATGTGCCGGTCTCAGTGCGGGCATTTATTTTGCATTTCTATGCTACATGATATGGAGGGTGTTCAAAAATATCAGTATTAAGCGATCAGTACTGCCCAGCATGACGCAAGCCAGGCGTTTGCATTATGAAGGTATAATATACAGGTTCTGTTTTTTGATGTTCGCCACGCTGATTTGTGCCGCAGTTACTATATGTTCGTTTTTGCTCTCTCAGTATGTACAGGGCGAGAAAAAGTACGACGAAAACATGGACTTGGAGTTGACCTCCGTTATCCATACGGGCGTTTATGGAATGTGGAATGTTTATATTTGTGCTCTGTTGATGTTGTATGCTCCCAGTCACAAGCGTTGGCCCTCTGAACCGATCTGTGCTGAAGGGGAGGAAGTTGAATTTAGCCGGTTATCGAATGATACGAGTACGCCCAATGAAATATCGTCGCTTACTTCTTTTGTTGCCAAGGCAAATATTGAGTAAAAAAGTTATTTTCTCTTCCCAGATCATATCAAAAAAATGCTTCCATTTTACATGTTTTATTTTCGAATCTGTCGTAGATCTGTGTAGTTTTAAGCGTCTGTAAATTTCTATGGATAATGTGGCCACAATAATACTTAATTGTTTTCAAAATTTTATGATTTCTTTGATACTGCGAGTAGAAAGTATCTAAATAATTTTTTATACAAAATAGATCAAACGTACCAAATTCTTCCGGTAAATTTTTGTTATTTAAAGTTTGACATTATTTTCTTAGCAAATTGTATTTATTCTAAAATTATTTTTTAAACTTCCTCATTAATTAAAACAAGGTCTTCTTAAAAACATATCAGAAAAATGAACTATGTATTGTGTACCAGTTCCTGTTGAATTTTCGTGATAATTTTTCTATTGGCGACTATTTTTTATATTTGTTGTGTGAGAAACTATACATATACAATTATTTAATTCTAAAATTAGGTTCATACTAACTTGCAATAAAAAAGTTTTATTAATGCTTGAGTAGTATTAGAATCTCTCTATTTATATATTTATACAAATACTATTATTAGTAGTAATGTTTTTTAATTTAATATTTTAAAACTTTTCAGTATTATTTCGTCCTTGTGATTGTTTAAAAGTATTTTTGTAACGTAGAAATCGTAATGATATAGATATTGTTTAATGTGTAACTTTATGTAAAATATAATAAAAATTTATGTATCAAAAATTACTATTTTTTTTTTCTGTTTTTTGTCCTCTTTCTCCAGTGGACATTTTGCTTTTCCCATAGTTTTACTGCATTATGGGCTATACATTTAGGTATTCCCAGTACTGGCATTGGATCAAGATAGAGGATTCCGATAATCCTTTCCTTGCTAGTTCATCGGCTTCAAAAAAATCAAAGTGTATGGCCTTAAGCAGTTAAAAAGGTAAAAGAAATCAAAATTATCGAAAAAAAAGTGACAAAAAACATTCCCAAGTTTATAACTCCAAGCATTTACAGGGTGAATTGCAAGCGTCGCCTCTCCGACTAGACGAATCTTAACAATCCCCCCCGTAAACGAAGGTATAGTACTATTCTTTTAAAAGTTCCTCAATATGGCCGACCTAGTTACGAAAATTGGTAATTTTTTTTTAATGAAAAATAAGTTGGCGTTATTGAATTCAGAAATTGATTTACTCTTTGGTTAACAATAATATTTTTCAGGATTGTCAAGTTGACGTTAAAGTTAGGTTATTAGGTGGTTGTCATAAATAAAAACATAGATTATTGAAATTATTTAATAAGAATAAAGGTATTTTACCGCAACGCCGCGTCTGCGAATCCCAAATGATATTCTTTTGTTATTTATTTAAATAGTTATTTTATGTCGGGATTGAGCGGTGAGATATTAAGGCATGAAGTAAACCAAAAATGTTTTACTGGTTGCCTAAGTTTCATAAATGTTTTTTCCCAAAAATTGGCCGAACAAGGTTAAGTTATTGCTTCCATATACTCTAAATAGAAGCTAGATTAAGTGGTAAGATGATTTTTTAATATTTCGTAACGTATTTTATACGAAAAATATTATTTTTTGGAAATTTTAGGAAATAAACCAACTGACATTTCGATTTCTCATAAATGACAGTTGGCGGGCAACCGAAATCCGAAATTGTTCAACAAAACGCATGAAACAGTTCTTATTAAATACACCCATTATAATACAGCCAAATTTTAATTATTTATTTCCTTTCCAGTGTTCACCTTCAAATAGTACTAAAACAAGAATCAGGTGCTATTTCGCAGTGACGCCATGCCATGAATCACAGAAGATCAATTGCTTGTTCGAAGATGATGAACTTAGAATTATGTACTACCAAAACTGAAATACAAGATATATGAGGAATAATTAATAGAGAACATACAAATATTCGAAGAAATGTGATTTTGAAATTGACAACATTAGATACTTGCGTAGCTTGTACAATATCATTAAGCTTGCAGGACTTACCATTGTATGTGCAAAACCAAAGGTACGTTCAGCTATAAAAGTGATCCCTCTGCTGTGTATAAAAGTGATATATTCTTTGTATAAAAGTGATCCCTCTCTTATAAACAAGTTTTACAATCAAGAGAGGTATGGATGATGACAGATAAATACTTTTCTGGTAAATTTCACTAATTTTACTGTCACCACAAAAAGTTAACTTGATTGTACAATATTCTCTACTCTTTGCTATATATCTGAAGTTCTTATACCTACTTTCTTTTATATAGATGCAGAAATAAGCATGTTATATACTTTTGTCTGGGTATAATCCTATTTACACCTGATGAATCTCATAAAAATATATGTATACATTTTATATCTGTCCAAAACGTAAAGGAAGATTTCGACAACATCCAAAAAAGAACAACAGAAAATTTAACTTACCGGTGAATGAAAATGACAGAAGACAACTGTTACTGGCTGATTTTTTTCCTTTCTGCAGTAAGGTAAAGTAAAACACAGTAATATGTTACGAAATATATATTTAATCATTTCTTTAAATTCAAAAAACGAACAATTTATATCATACAAATAGACCTACAAAAAATTCATGGCAAATGTTCTAATTATTTTCTTATAAAAAACTATATAATTCTTTTCAGTAATACAAAAACACTAATTTGTACAAAAATCGACACAATAATAATAGTCTATTTACAATTCGAATACAAAAAATATAAAAGAATATATATATAATAGTAATAACAAATATTTACCTAAATATTAGGCAAAAAAACATTTATTTTCTAATACGAATAAGGCACAGTTGTGAACGCTCAAATTTACAAAGTTTGTGATTTTTTGATGATTTTCCACATTCAAACGTAACTTTCACTTTCCGCATCGGTCGTAACTAATAAAACCCTGGCTGTGGCGTAGGTACCAGGCGGTGGAGGGGGTGGTGGCCTGTAAATCGGAGGCAGGTGAACGGGGGGCAGGTGCCTCAAAGGCGGAGGCCTACGAGGCGGTATTGGCGGCGAACATAAACTGAAAAAAAAATGAAATAAAATTAAACAATTTTTTTTCTGTTACAGAAAAAATAATTTTGTAATTTTAATCTCGGTAAACTATAAGATATGGAGGAGGTAGATGGACCTATACAGGGTGAGTCTTAAATAAGTGCAAATATTTTCAGTGCTGGTATAGATCTCAATAAAAGGAACATACAGTGTGTCCCCGGATTGTAATTACATTGGAAAAATGTATTCTTCATAAAAATTTTTGCTTGTTCTAAAATGGTTGATTCCGTTTATACTTTTCCAAATTTCCATACCGTTTTAGAGAAAATTAAGAAAAATATGTAAATATAGTTGAATTTTTTCAAAGTCCTGCTAAAAATGAAAAGGAGTTTATGGTAATATAAATTCACTTTCCTTCTTTGATAGATTGTTATTTATATAATTCTAATTAACATAACATTTTTTGTTGTTTTAAAATGTTAAAGAAGTACAAAATTTATTTAGTTCACTGCTAGGGTAAGAACATGCAATTTTTTTATGAAAAATGCATTTTTGTCAAAATATCAATAATAAAAAAGTTTTTCTTCGTGTAAAGACAATCCGGGGACATACTGTAGAGAGAACAATCTTATAAAAAAGAAAAAAAGTAGAAACGATGAGGCGGCATTTATTTTCAAAAATATCTTTAAATAAATCCTCGAAAAATTAATAATTCACCACACAATATACAGCGTGTTTATAATTGTACGAAAATATTCTGTTAATTATTAATTTTAAATAAGAAAAAACATAAAAAATCAATTTGTTACCTTTCGTTTGAGGCACAAAACGCCTCGTCCTCCTCAATCCAGGACGTTGTGTTATCCAGGGACCGCATCCTGGCCGCCTGTCTCGCCCAATCGGATCTGTGGAACGTCGCAGTGTGGTAGTTCAGTCCCGGGCTCTCTCTGTCGTCCTCGGACAGCGTCAGTCCGGAGTCCCTGCTCAGCGATTTCTGGTCTTTGCTCAATTCGACCGAGTCCAGTGATAGACCCAGCGCTGGAAAAAATATTAACTTGGTTAAAAAAAAATTTCTCCTCACCCCGGAGACGTGATACTTTTTTTTTCTTTTAAAAAATGTTGAAAATTTTTTAGTCTAGCAGGTTCAATCTTCTGAATTTTCTTGACAGTGTATTATAATTCCCCACACGTAACAAAATTCCGCCACCCTAAAATTTTGAGTAAGTTTAATGTTTAATAACTTTTGAATTTGTAATCTAATTTTTATGATTATGGTATTAGTTTAAAGATAAATTTGTTGGCATTATTTTTTATTATTTTACTGGCTTATATATTTCCGTTAGGTGTGTTTATACTGGGGTAAATCAAAACTTCGTTTTTGTAATAAATTCATAACACCCTGTGAAAAAAATGGGATGGGCATGTTGGATAAAAAACACTTTCCTGTAATCTTAGATGTATTCCTAACATTTAATGTTTTTAATTATCCCATTATCTCTATTCTTTTATGAACTAGACATTTTTAAATAAAGTACCTACTGATATTTTTACAATCTTGAATTTGTTGAAAATGGCGCTCTAAATTCCCACCGTTATATTGAGGATGTCCTCCAAAAAGTTGTCGTTCCATTTGCTCCTTTCATTGGAAATAAAATTGAAATTGGAAATTGGCCAATAAAAAAATCTCTGTAATCACAACTTTACTTAAAAATGTGTAGCTAATAAAAGAATAGAGATAATGGGATAATTCAAGAAATTCAATGTTAGTAATACATCTAAGATTACAGGAAAGTATTTTTTATCCAAAATGCCCGTTCCATTTTTTCCACAAGGTGTTTTGAATTTGTTGCAAAAAACGACGTTTTGATTTACCTCGGTATAAACCCACCTAACCGAAGAATATAAGCCATTATAATAATAAAAAGTAAGTAAAGTAAAAATGCCAATAAATTTATCTTCACACTGATATAATAATCATAAAAATCGGATTAAAAAATAACAAGTTATGAAACATCAAACTTAGTCAAATTTTTAGTATGGCGGATATTATTTTGTGCCGGGGAGTTTATATACCGTATGATCGAAAAAAAACGATCTCAAAAACACCTTCAGGGAAGTCGATGACAATCGATGTTAATTTTGGCGAGAACAAGTTTTTTTTTCAATTTTTATAAATGGTAAATAGAAAAAAATATAGGTATCTTTAGCTCAGATCTGTCACCCTCTTAAAATACTCGCACTTATTTAATAGACACTGCGTATATCTCTCATTATTCAGGGGTGACGAAAAGTCCTGGTACAAAACAAATAGAGGTCCCTATCTAAACTATCAATATTAGAGATATCAGTTTCATTAATTTAGATAAATCTTGATAATTGTGTTACTTACAATGTAAGCTGTCAGATTCTTCCGCCCCACTATCGTGGGCTGCTTCTCCCAAAAGGGACACCACTTGGGACCCAAACAACGCCTGACAATTGTTTATTAGCATTTCTATCAAAGTTGGCAATGTTCGTAGTGGAGCATTTTGGGACGATTCCCATAATAGACTTGGACCCACGCAAACACCTGTAAAAAATATTTTGTTTAAAATGTATAAATTCAAATTAAAAACAATTAAACTCACCTAAATTGGCAGCTGACATTAAGTTATATCTCGACCTCTTAGCGATATTGTACAGTACACAGACGACGTATCTTAAAAGCGAATGGTTTTCCCTGGGTAAATTACCCAAAAGTCTTCGTAAAAGATCTAGTCGGCCGGTGGTAGTGGCGTTTAACCATTCCTGGGGGTTCCCGCAGAGTAACGGTTCTGGTAAACTCCTCAAAAAGTCTTTTAATAGTGCTCCGAGAAGTAAAGTTGGTGTGTTGGTGATTTCTTCGCACACTAATGGCCCTAAAAAAGTACAAAGCAATATAAAAAAAGCGCGAAAAATACGTAATATACAATCACGTAAAATATTCGTACTTGTTTAAGACAAACAGAATTTAAAAAGTTACCTTGGTTATCGATTTTTTCCTTTAGTTCCCTCAAAGCTTTTGCCGAAGCACATCTTCTAAAAATGCCTTGAGTATGAGGTCCCCTTTGGAACAGGGACCTTAAACAAGCTAAAATAACGGGAGGTAGAGTGTTGTTGGAGCACAAACGAGACAGGGAGATGCCAAAAACCCGTCCGCAACTGTTTTTTCTAAATAATTTCAAAGGAGTCCTAGAAATAATCAAAATTAATATATTACATTAAGAAATATCTATTTTTTTATAATAATGTGAGAAGAAACGGGTAAAATATTATTATATATTTTTTTTGACTCACTTTCTAGGGCTTGGTTTGATTCTAGGCTTCAGTTCGAAAACTATGTCACACGGTATCCTGCTTTTGTTACAATGAGTCAGATCAAATCCTTCTTCGGCACACAGAGACTGTCTTAACCTGGCCAGCTGTATAGAATGGGGTCTTTCGCAGCCTATTAGCGGACAGGGTGCATTGTCTCTATCTCTAGCGTACAGAGTATAAGAGACGTCGCAAGTTCGCGATTCATCCAGAGCCAATCTTGCCACGTCTGTCGAGGACGTCTCTGGGCCTACGCCCAGAGTTTTCGAACACTCTGTACCGCTCAGGGGGTCTTTGTAGACGACCTGAAAAAGATAACAAATAAAGTAATATTAACTTGACAAACAGGTCGATTTAGTAACTTTAAAATTTATCGACATGAGCTGATTTTTTTCTCTAAAAGTACTCTGGGTTGTTGTGACAGACCTTGATATTGGTTATAGGTGGTTCCAGTCTTAATTGAGCTGCCAGCGCTTGTCTCAGTTCTCTCCACCATGAGTCTCTGGCTGCCTGAGTGCAAAAGGTAACCAAGTACGTTCTGGCTGGTGACGGCCAGCCCAGTAGGAACCCTGTTTCTGACTCCACGCACGGTGCTATCCATATTTCTGATACTCTAACGCTTTCCTACAAGAAGAGAGGTACACATGTTTTTAAATTCAGTTATTCTCTGTATTTTAAAGATTTTTTTGTCACGAAAAGTATCATTTTTGCTCCTAATAAAACAATTATTGTCAATCACGTCGCAAAAATTAATACTTTTGTGACTTTTTGCAAAAAAAAAACTAATTTTAAATGTATGAAACTTACTTTTAATTTGTAGTTTCCTGTAGACCGTGGCTTGGCAACTAGTAACAGATCGGAAAACAGGAATAGGTGTCTCGGTTTGGCGTTCATGGGCATCTGAGAGGGCGACATTGCGCAGGGTGCTTCCATCAGAAAAATCCTTTTGCAAGGTCCGCCATTCTCTATCGACGTCAAGTCTCCCAAAGATTTTTTCCTCAAAGACTTACTTTTCTGCAAAGAAAATGACGAATTTTTGGAGTTGAAAACCTTGAAAGAAGAGTCAACAGGTAAATGCATGTAGGTATATTCTGTTTTAGAAAATAAAATTTCTCTCTAGCAGTTCTTTAATTTTCAAGTTAGTGATATAATTAACAATACAAATCAATAGTTATCTATTTATTAAGACGCCTGTATATTTAACTATACCTGGTGCGTCTCAAAAGTGGCTCACCCCTGTAAATTTTTTATTTTTTCAGATAAAAAGCGAGATTTGGTATGTTAGATTAAGACATAAATTGGGATTGATTGACATATTCAATTATTTTTGGTCACTTCCTGTTTCACCGGAAATTATTACAACTTTTGATTTTTAAATGGCACCACACACTTTTTGTTGTTAAGAACCGTATTTTATAATTTCAAATAAACTATATACGAAAATGTCAAAAGTTGACATATGATATGTCATTCTATCCAGAGTATAATTTTCTATGGAATAAATTAAAGAATACCGACGGTGTCATTTAAATATCAAAAGTTGTAGTCATTTCCGGTGAAACAGGAAGTGACCAAAAACAATCAAATACGTCAATAAATCCTAATTTATGTCATATACAAAATTTCGTTTTTTTATTTGAAAAAATTAAAAAGTTATAGGGGTGAGCCACTTTTGAGACGCACCCGGTATATTTCTGACAATTTTATTCTTGAAAAACTTATTATATAGTTAGGAAGAGTCGAAGAGTCGATGTATTTTTAGTTTTTACTACTCCGAAACCCATTAACAGCACCTGCGTACGACATAACTAATGTAAAATTAGACACAGCAATTATCTGAAAATATAATCGCCATTTCACAACTTTCTCTTAAATAAACTTATATTTATGTAATTTGTGTCTCGGCTTCGGAGGATAGAACGACACCTACTGGGGTAGTCCAAAAATAGTCCGACTTTTCCGTTTATACCCAGTAACCTTGCAACACAATTATTGCAATCTTCTGTTTCAAAAATTTCAGCCGTTTTTATATGCTTTGTTGTTGTTAATTTTAGACAAATGACAATAGATTTTCCAAATAAACGTTTTGTGCGATGAAACTTTTTAGAGTGTCCTCGTATAAAAGAGATAAAAGACGAAAAAGACAGAGAGAGACAGACAACGAAATGTTAAAAAGGCTCGTCTCTAAAGGCCATCATCAATCTAAAACACAACGATAATGCCGAAACGGGCTTATAAATATTACAGAAACGATTGTACGGGCTTATCTAGTTGAAAAATTATACGCACACACCTCTATGTGGACAAAACGTAAAAGTTTTGAAAGTGTTAACGGGTTACGCAATGACAGCGCGGGCCTGTTCTCTCGATATGTCAACAACCTGATGATGATTATAACGATATTTTACGAGAAATCATTAAATTTTTAATTGGGAATATCGATACATGTATTTTTCTTTTAATAACAAAACAAAATTCTATAGATTTTGATGCTTTGATACATTATAATTATTAAGTTATTTTGACATTAATTTTGTTTTCTTTATTCGTTTAGATATATACAGGGAGATTCAAAATGTTTTGAGATATCAGTCTATGTCATAAACCATACAGAATGGTTTAACCAATTTTTGGTCAAATTTTCTTCATATTTTAAAACTGCATCAAAATAATAGTAAAATCTCAAATTATTGATACTTTTTAACTGGAAGTATTTTATGGTATTCTCTCCTTCAAAATCAATACGAAATCGGTACTAAAATACGACGAATTGCTTGGTATATACAGGGTGAGGTAAAAGAAATTTAATAATCTTCGTTCATCATAAATATTCTAACAGATTTTTTCGAACTTTTTATTTTCCTATGCTACCGTATGACCGAAAAAAAAACGGCGTCCAGTAGGCTGGGAAATGACGATCGATGAGAGTTCCCATATAAATTTACATATAAAATGACGATTCGATTATACAGTATAATACCGCCTAATGCATAGGCATTTTATCGAAAAAAAAATGAAATGTAAATATTCACTTATACAATAATAATCAAACCCATTTAAGTCACACCTAAATTGTTAATATAGTTCACAAAAATACATTTTAAACGAAACGTATGTTTGTCACGTGATCTAAAACATATTTAGTCGTTCTGAAATTCACGTGCATTTATTTATAGAAATAATTCGATTTAAGTAAAAAGCATTTGATTGCATTTCTCTCTAGTGCTTTGTTTCTTCTAATTAGTCCCATAATAAATAATTAACCTAGAAAATTGTTCATTAAATAGTAAGTAAAAGGCAAGGTTTAGTAAACGTGCTAAACGAAAACATTTTTAGTCGTTTCATTTTTCTCATTGCACGCATACTAACAATATGGTTAGATTATAGGAAAGTGCATTTTTCAAGGCCTAATTTTTCAAGTACTACCTTTTAGCATTTTATTTGATCTTAGTTTAACAGAGTTAATTTTTATTTACTTCTAATATATAGGGTGTCCCATTAAGGGTTCTATTTATATATCATTAACTAGGGTTATACCCTCCCGTATACACTTACTATGTTGTAACATGAAGTCGGTTCAGGTATATGTAGACCCAGGTAATCGTGAGGAAACAGGTCTTGAATTCGGTCTAAATCTCGTCTTCTGCCGTCTAAAGCCGGCTGGGAACCACCCAGCAATCTGCCATAGTCAGCTAATCTTTCTGCCTGAAAATGAAGAGAAAAAAAATAAGTTCTAAAATATAGATTATTTTTTTCGAGTAAAAATAAAAAAAATATTTGGAAACAATCGAAATTAAAAATGAAACTTCTACGCCCTGTATCTCCGAAACTAAGCATCCGACCACCCTGTATATTGATCATATGTGAGAAACTAATTGAAACAGAATGTCGATCGATAACAAAACGCAATTACAATCAATTAAGACCATTTGCTCTGTTTTTCCACGACACTACAAAAATAGTTTATTGGATTTCGAATCGATTTGCTCTAAGTCAAGTCAAGATCGCTATCGATTAAATTGGTAGAAAGCGCAATTTTTCAACGCACCAGAATAATAACAAGACAACAATAAACAAATGGATCGATTTCAAGTTTAATCTAAATCGCTTACTGGGTACCTATCTAGCCATTTGTCAATGTTTCCTCGTGGACACTTTCACTCAAAATTATACGTCTCAAATATCACATGTACCGTTACAATGCAATACGCATTGTTTGCACGTGTATTTTCTGTTTGGTACTAATATTATTCTCTGTTATTTAAATATCTTAAAAGCTTTTCAATGATGTTAAATTGGTATAAGTGTACTTTTAAATATATTTAATTGTGACATTTATAAGTATTGTATATTGTATCAATAACAAACTTATAAGTAATTTAATTTAAACCATCTTATCTCATCTGAAGAATCGTTTAGACGAAAAATTCTTGGAATAAGCGCGTGCACCGATTCCGACTTAATAGTGACTTAAATTTAACTTGTATATCGTTTAATTCCGATTTGATACGCGGCAGGAAACCTGAATTATTACGGCAGTACTGCCAGTACTCCTCTTTTTATCATGTAACACGTCGAGTAACTCACCCACTAACATACTTAACGATGCATTGTAAACGTAACAGTAATTTTAAACTGAACAGGAACACTTTTCACAAACACACACTATACAAAAATTATTGTATTTATATACGTATATAGTTTACGACATTCATGTAGTGTACATTATTATATTGTCCACCGTGTATATTATATATTTTTTTCTTCAGATTACTTCAGATAAAAGAATTTTTGAAACGACTTTAAGAACGGGCAAGTGGCTAAATTTCGTACACTCCTTTTTTTTCTTATTCATCGTTGTTAAAAAAATATGCTACTGGTCCTGAGTTTAAAAGATGGCTCTCTCAGAATTCGGTTTTTATCTCCGAAAACGAATCTTTTCGAATGATTAATTCGCAGCCTGTAAGTGGAATTTCGCCCGTTTTTTTTCCTCTTGCTCATTTCCATTTTTGCATCGTCAATAAGGCCCTGTATAGTCGAAACGATTCAAGTGGGATCTTTAGGAACAGCCACACGCAATTTTTTCTGTTTAGTTTCTCAGTAGATCCCTTTAATTTGACACAATTTTTTGTCTAATAAATAAAAAATGGGGTTTTGACAGGGAGGAAGAGATATATACCGTATGAATGAAAAAAGAAACGGTGATAAAGAATTAACAACCTTGTAAATAAACAATTGTGGTGTTGTCAAATTGAATAAAAGATTTTTCAATTTTGAGTTATGAATCATTCATAGAATTTATATTATATCAATAGATAAAAACTTATAAATAAAAAATTGTAGCGAAAAAAATAATTATAATTTAATGAAATCAATCATTATATAATTAATATCTATTATGAAATATCGATATTTAAGTAAATCAATAAAAAATATTTATCAAAACAAACTGACTTTTTTAACTGAGTAAGACGACTGTTTAGTAGACCAACAAAAAAGTTTTCCCATCACTATAAACTACACTAGCACGCTGACAAAACTAAACTGAATGCATAACTAGTCCCAATTTAAATACAAACAGATTTTAATTTATTTTTCAATGAGATAAGATAAAGAAAATTGACTGCATTTCCCTTTACAAACTTATCGGAATAAGGCAGATGATGGTTCCGAACCTACGTGTTGGTCTCGGTGTCTTTATATGGTCAAATATTCGTCAATTTAACTTTGTATTAGATAAATAATGATCTTAGAAAATGAGAGAGATAATAAGATTTTTGACGTCAAGGTTTTTAATTTTTATTTCTTATTGTTAAAAAAAATAGTACCTTCTCCAAAGAGAATATTATGTCAGGCAAATATGTATTTATTACCAACGCACGCTTTGGATAAGTACACAGCTGTAAGAAAGTATAGAAAAAAGTCTCTTAAAAATATTATGCAAATATATCTCCAAGCCGAACCTTTTGCGAATACCGTAAAGCAATATTTGCATAACTACGACAAGGTTTTTCTTGTTTGTGCCTGTACTACATACACACAACTAACATTGGATAATATTCCTAAAAAGTTTATGAAAAATATATTAAAATTTTTCGGTGTAGTCTTAAATAAATGCACATGATTCTATACGCCTTTGCAAAACCGCATCGCCTAAACTAAAATTGATAGCGACACTTTTATTAGCGCGTATCGTATAATTTTTTTTCTCTTTACGAAATTCGACAACGCAAAAAGCGTGCAGAAATAATTTAAGACGATGATGCCTCTTTGTCAGGGTCTCTTTCTTGTTCTTCGTTTTCTTCCTTTTATCTACCATCTGCCCAATGCATATGGGACGGGATAATTGATGTTGAACGCGCCAGTTCAATTTTAGCATCAGCGTTTCGTTTCTTTTTAAATGGCTTCCTTTGTACGATTAGTTTTGTTTAATTTATTTCTCTTTTTACTTGTCGATGCATATGTGATAACGAAGAAATGCATTTTTTTTGATTGTGGCTATTCTATAAACCAGTAGAAAAAAAACTTCTAAAAATAAGATATAAATTATAATTCTCCTTACATTCTACATCAACCTCAACAGGGTTTGTCTAAGCAGTACAACTTTGGTAGTACCATCATCAGAATTAAAATAAAGGACCCATACCCGTGCGTTCTAGCCTCCGGGTATAAACTTATATGGTTTCCGTTGCGTAAGCAACACGCAACTCGGTTCCGAGATTAAATAAGTACCATCAGCAGCGGTACCATTAAAATAGGATTTCGTAGGTTTACACGCACCCATCCTCAGCATTTAAGCCGCTATTAGAATAATCGGCCCGTCTTTTTTATGCCTCTACGATTATACGTCTTTTCTGTCCGTCCCGACAATAAAAATTCCAACGGAATTAGGTCAGGTGGGTTAGGTGGACAGACGTCGTTTTATGTTTGTCGTTTTTTTTCAGGTTTATAGGACACATGTAGAAAATACCGATCTTTTCTGCTGTTTCACAGTAGGAAAATACACAGTTGTCGTCTCCAGTATTACATGACACCCTGTATAAAAGTAGTAACCATAACAAATTGCTCCGTTTATCTGAAAAATGTCGTGTTTCGGAGATAAGCAACATCACCGGTCTGTCGGAAGTAAAAAAGACATACAGACGACTTATTTTTCGGTCACGAGCCAAATATCTCCGTCTAGACAGGTACCATCTCGTGGTACCATAAGGTACTTTGGGCCGAGGAACTGGCAGATAAGGGAACGACATAGTTTGTCAACGTTCTCGAACAACAAACAACCGGGCGAGATAAGGCCTCGGTTCTACAAGTTGTTAAGTACCGAAGGAGATTGGATGTTATTTGGTCATTTTGAACCAATAGAATTACAATAAGAGTCTCTATCATTTCTAAATGAACGTTCAGAATAACAAAATAACAACTCGAATTTATTTTATTAATCCTTTCTTAATTTAAATATTGCCAAGCCAAAAACAAGGACATTTTTCATGTTTTTTTAACCTTTTTCCTCCTATATAGATATTCATTTCGCCAAACCATCCAAGTCTTCTTCATTCGATTCGACATTTTGAAAATTACATTTACATAAGGTAAAATTTCGGACCCGTATTATCTTAGAGGGGTTTCTTCCTTTTCTTCTTGTTTTAGTCGTGGTTTTTTTAATTTCTTCTTTTCTTTTTAGGACACAAACAAGTTTTTAATGAAAGCTGCAGAGCGTTAAGGCATTCTGATGTAAATTTATTGTTGTTTTGGCGTTAGCTTTTTTTTTCTTCTCTTCCAAATTGATGACCATAATAAGAATAATAATAATCCGTGTCCAAGAATAATCCAATTAGTATAAGGAGAATAAATTTCAATTTATTTTATTTCTTTTCTTGAGTAATATTTTTTTCTAATTAAGAACTGAAAAATATCTTCATTTTTTCCAAAAAAAAAAGAATAATTTTTTCAACTTTGTTTAAAAATTAGGCAAGTAATATAATAATAAGTCCTGCCTCTGTGGTGATACGCTCGTCTCAGATACTGACTTTTGTCAAAGCCCAGAGACTGTATGATGATTATAACTCAAGAAAGGGGGACATAATATTGATATTTTTTTTAAAAAAGTACTATATTTTTCAACTCAGTTTAAATAAAATGTCCGCAACCGTCGACAGTCAAACTGTGGCGTGTGTGGTTCCCTTCATTGGCAGGCGAAGAGGTCAATAAAATCGTTTTATTAGGAAATTAAGTTTGATGTATGTATATGCGTTTTAGGTTTTTGGATTTTAATGGATACGTCTGGTGTTTGTGTGTGTGTGTGTGTGTGGGGTTATAATAATTCTTTAAGTTTTTTTTATTACCCATCCGGCTCGAGGCAAAGCATTTGTTGAAGAAACTATTAAAAAGAGATGTAAACAAAGTCGGCCTTTGTATTTCTTTGATGCCATAACAAATGTAAAAAAAAATATTATTTCTGAAGAATGTTAACGGATATATTGTACCTTTATATTCATGATTTTTCATGATAAAAAGAATACTTATTTATGAATTTAATGATGATGAAGATACAGAGTGGTCAAAAATTGTAATCGGATTTGTACCCTCGTTTATACCTGTATTACTTTACTGAGAGAAAAACTATACTTCCCTGTACAAAATTCCGACGCCCTAAAATTTTGAGGAAGTTTGATGTTTCATAACTTTTTATTTTGTAATTCGATTTT